AGCAAACATGTTTAGTGATACTGATACATAAGCAGCTGACTCACCAAATAAGAACTGCTGAAGGGTATGCATAGGGCAGAATGACTTCCAAAACGACATCCTCCGACCAAATATCACGAAAGTATCACTGGAAAAAAGGCCACCGAAAACTCAATTTAGAATTAGTCGGAAAAAAGCGTTTCAGAGTTATACGAGCGTTTTCACAGGAGCGGCGAAAAACTACAGAGCTTGTCAGAAAAATCAGCTCCTCAAACTCACAAGCGTCGATTGAACTACCGCCTCTCTCGGTCTGACGCCTCCGACTGATGCACGTCGCACGAAGCTTCACGTAGCGTCTCCAATGCAATCAGTCTTAGGGAGGGGACTATTGAAGAGGGGTGGTCACTGCGGGTTCAGAATCATTTCAGATACGCCGACATCCGCTCGGCTGAATTTCGGGTGGCGACCGGCTGGCGGCAAGGCCCGAGTTGTCGGAGGAAATTCTCTTATCGAGCCTCGCAAAAGAAAGGGGAGTGGATAATACAAAAGAGGGAAACACATCGATGGTGAATCTACCAAGCCACGTGTCTCGCTTTGAGACGTTGAAGACTTCCTGTTATGCTTGATTTTTTGAATGGAAAACTACTCAACGTCAATTCTTGATGTTTCCCGTGATTTTTCTTCTCCATGCTATGAGAACTCTTTGAAAAATTCGAGAAATGATATTAATTTGTTCTCCTTCAAAAAAATAATATTGGAGCATTGGAAGCGATTTTTGAACACTGCAAACGAGATATGTGGTCACTGGTGACTATCGTGGTTTCACCATCGACATGTATAACGTGGCGCAAGAACAGCAAACAAGGACGATATTGCAACCTACACTGAAAAAAAAACACATTGGATCTAGTGTCCAGACTCTTAAAGACATCGACAAGAAAAAGTACTCCTGATTCAATCAGAATCTAGCTTAAATCAAGAACCAAGCCTCTTAATTTAAGCGGATTTCGTTTTGATTCGAGCAAAAATCCGATTGAATCAAGAGTATTTTTTCTTGTCAATGTTTTCAAGAGTCTGGACTCTAGATCCAATATGTTTTTTTTTTCCAGTGTAATCCAAAAGGGTACATAGAGTAAAATTGTGCGGAAGGCAGTAACTTTGCTGGAAAGGAGGGGAGCAGATCTATTACAACAAATCTGCGAAATTTCTGTCAAACCATTAAAAAATATCCTTTGAAAATATTATATTTTCAGTCTAATATGAGGGGGCGGGGCGATCCGTCTCTGTTGCTCAAAAATGATTTTGAACGAAAGTCAATGATTTTTTTTCTTTTGGATTTTTACAAGTACTCCAGATTAAGAATGTAGCTAAAATCATTCTCCACAATGTGAAAATCATAGAAGATGAGCGTCACACATAAAAACTGAAGCGCGGAGCGCTGCGCTAAGGGGGGGGGGGCGATTGGACCGTGAAGCAATCAAGGGGTGCTGCCCCCTCACTTTCAAAAGAATTGGAAAATCATAGTCAGTTCATCAACTTCCGAGGGTTCATACGGCGTTTTTCTTTAGCGAGACACGACGCCAAAAAAGTCTTCAAGAAAAATTACTGTATTTTAATATATGTAGTTCTTAACATTAGTTTCAAACCTTTCAAGTTTGAAAAACTATAATAGAGTTGTTTTGACAATCTTAAATCAGAAAATCTACTCCGAAAAATGGCTCGCAGAGCGAGCCGAATGCCGCAGTGATCGGCTGATCGGGGGTCCAGGGGGCGCAGCCCCTTGGCCAGCCGCGACGAACGCGCAGAGCGCGTCCAGATTGGCTAGTACTTATTTAAAATTCTAGAAATACAGATAACCCGTTGCCATGAAGATTCAGTAAGACGAAGTTAAACCATTGACCTCGATTGGGTATCGCGTCAGCCGACTGATTTTCTTTAAACTCCACCACGCGAAAAAAAAGTAAATTTTGGAAAGTAATCGTGAGGGGTTTCTTGAAACTATTTCAACGGGTTTTGTAAGGCTGACTCAAAGGGTTTTAAAGAGTCCTTTCAAAAGTTACCAAAATAGACGTAGCAACTTGGGGACAAGTACAATTAAGGGGCTTGGAGGACCGACCGCATGAGTACACTTTTTGCTATTTCGGGAAATACGTGTTTAAAGTTTTGAAATTACATGGATCCTTACGGTGGAAATGAAGTTTGAACTGACTTTTTGAAGCTTAAAAATTGGAATTTGTGAGAGAATTTTTGACAGAATGTGCGTTAATATTAGTTTTACTTGAAATCATTAAAATCATTTTTTTCAAAAACCACACGTATGCGCCTTGTCCTTAAAGCCCTCAATTCGAAAACAGTGATGCAAAAATTAATTCTTACCATATAGACGCAATATCTTCATGTAGGGTATTCTCCAGCTCCGAGCGTTTGGTGTGAACTTTTGAAAGACAGAAAGGTGGTTCCATTGATCTCGTCACCGTTTTCATTCGCGGGAAAGTTTGATGGAAGGAATTTTTAAAATAACGCACCGAACACACAACAAAACTGAATTCAATTACACGTTCTTCGCAAGCGGATTGGAGATATCATTTCCGTAGGCATAACACAGTACATTTTACAATACTCTCGTAATTTGAAGTTCTGAAATCTATATATTAGGTCTTCGAATTTCCTTATCCACCACACTCACTCTTAAACCAACGGCTGCCAAATGACGACTGGTCGAACCGTAAGAAGCTCCAAGCACTCGAGTTTTTCGACCTGTTTTCTTCTGAGATAAGAATATGGCTTCAGTTTTGAATACATCCCCTCTTTTTGGGTTTCCCAGGTACAAGCGGCACAAGCACACAAAGGAAAATGCGTTTCCGCAAAGAGGATCATCGGTTTGCTAATAATGTGAAGGGGCCTGTCCTCCTATCTATCTCTCTCTACTCTTCTTATTCTCCAAACTCTTATTTCTGACCAAATGCCCGCTTGCCTGTCATTAGTTGTTTTCACCCGTAAAGGAGGGGGGTGGGTTCGTTCTCGAGTGCTAAGAGAAAGACGAATCTCTTCGGCTTATCTTCGCTGGGTTGACAACCTGATTGTTGAACCGTTGACTGGCTAGATCAAGGCTTTGTAAGACAAGACAAAGCAAGCCTTATCTGCGTCGTGTAATACATATATCGATTTTCTATCTTTTCGTGCCGACATAAATTTCAAAAATTAGACTGCACTGGATAAAAGTCGCTTGGATCTAGGGTCCAGACTCTTAAAAACAATGACAAGAAAAATACTCTTGATTCAATCGAATTTTTGGTTGAATCGAAAGAAAAGTCGCTTAAATTAAGAGGATTGATTCTCGATCGAAGCGAAAATCCGATTGAATCAAGAGGCTTTTTTTCTTGTCAATGTTTTTAAGAGTCCGTACTCTACATCCAAGCGACTTTTTTTCCAATGCGCTGGTTGGCACCATTTAATATGTAAGTGTTCAAAAACTTCAACTGCAAACTGTGCGAAAACGGTGGCTTGAAGACACTTGGCGCATATATGACTTTTGAACAGGATCAATTAAAAATCGAGTTCAATGCAAGAAAATATTGTAAGTCGGTGTGGGCACCGATTACCATATGGAGTGTGCTTGATCCTTTGTTCACGTCAACCTTATTGCTCGAGAACCGATAGTTAGTCACTCCATGTGTAATGATGAGTTAACGAGATTTCTTTATTTATTTATCTCTCTCTATTTCACCTTTGAATCCATTTTCGTTGAAAAGCAATGGAAAGAAAAAACACATTGGATGTAGTGTCCTGACTCTTGAAAACATTGACAAGAGAAAATACTCTTGATTCAATCAGATTTAAGCTTAAAGCAAAAGGAAATCCACTCAAATTAAGAGGCTGGGTTCTTGATTTAAGCTTAACTCTGATTGAATCAAGAGTATTTTTTCTTGTCGATGTTTTCAAGAGTCTGGACTCTAGATCCAATGTGTTTTTTTCCAGTGAGTGGTATCCTTTAGAAATCCAGAGTAGATATTTGATGTGCTATCACCTCGAAAACGAAGGAAAATCATTGGTTTTCACCGGTCTCAAAAAAACTGACGTTTATGAATGTAGGTTTTATGCCTGCATCGTTAAATTCGGAAATCAAGCGCGCAACTATTCGAACTCTGCAGTAGGTTGGCAGTGGTATCACTTGAAAATGAAGGAAAATCTTAGCTTTTTACCGGTCTCAAAATACTAACGATTACGGGTTTTATGATCACATCAAATCGGAAATCAAGCGCGAAGCTTTTCAGACTCCGAAGTAGTATGAGATGTGGTATCACGCGACAATGAAGGAAACTCTTACCTTTTCACCTTTCTAAAACTGACGTTTATGAATGTGCCCACTGCTCATATCGCTGAATTCGGAAATCAAGCACGCAACCATTCGAACTCCGAACTAGGTGGCTTCTAGGAAGCTTCCGTGCTTATCATTGGCGTGGCTGCTTTTCGATAAATCGATTTATCTGCAGTTAAGCCTAACAACTTAATAATCGATTCTTTACCATAGCTTCAACACTGAAAAAAAATTCTCGGCGTTTTTACCAAGGTCCGTTGGTACCTTTACCATCTCACTTTTTTTACCAATTATTGGTAATTTTACCAAGACAGACTGGTAAGCTTACCTAAAAGCCGGTATTTTTACTGTTTATTTCAGGTAAGAATACCACTTTTATTGGTAATCGATTCCCGGTAACTTTGCCATTTTATCTCAGTAATACTACCACAGTCGATAAAAAATATTGGCGTTTTTACCAAGGTCCAGTATAATTACCGAGAAAGTTCAATAATTTTACCGAGATTCTCGGTAAAATTACCAATTGCATAAATGGTAATTTTACCGAGAAAAAACTGGGATCAAATAGAACCCTGAATTCTCGGTAATTTTACCCTTTTCTTAGTAAATACACCGAGATTTTTTTTTCAGTGAAATGGGGAAATATCGATAATAGATCATTCACGCCTCGCCACTGGTACTCATTTTTCCTCATATTCCTCAGGCGCTGTTTGATGTCGTGGAGGCATGGAACTGGAAGAGTTTCACAATAATTTACGAGAACAATGACAGTATTTTGAAAGTGAGTGAGCTGTTAAAGATCCACGATAGCAAGGGCTATCCGGTCGTTCTCCGTCAACTGGACGCAGATGACAATCACAGGTATATTTTTGAAGATATTGAGTCATCTATAATGCATGTATTTGCCTAATTTGCGGTAAATGTTCAATTTTAATTTTATGAACAGGGAAAGGAAGGGGACATTTTGTGTGAACAAGGGACATAGAAAGCCATGGCTAAAGTGCGAAATCACTCATCTCCGTTTGCTACGTTGCAGACTTCCTGTCATACTTTACATTTTCTTCAAAAAACTAAGCAACATAATTTTTTTTAAAATTGCTTTGATTAATCTGCTCCTTGAGAAGAATATTCTGTATACATTTCAATCCATTAAGTTGACTTGTTTCTCTTCGAAAAAATGAAATAGGATCGGAAATTTTGAAACCCCGCAATGCTGATACGTGGTTTCGCACTTTGGCCATCAAAAGGAACCATTTCATACCATTAGCAAGGCGTACGATAACATACCTACTGAAGTATATGGTGCAATGCGTCAGCGGCTAACATAAGCGCGGGCTGCGCACATTAGCCTGGAAACGGTACTCGAAACGCCTTCAAGTTTGTATGCATGCAACATAAACATCCCTTGAGCACTAATAGATGCATCTAGGTATCACTATCATTGTTTCGGGACATTCATCGATCGAAATAAGAACTGGAGGCACCGTGCTTCCTTCCGTGTCCGTCCACAGTTTTTATGTTACAGAATATAGAAGGTGAGATCACAAAAATATGAATCTCGTTTGCGGTATTTAAACATCTTGGCTCGCATTTTATTTGAAGAGGAGAACAAGCCAACATCTGGGAGTTTGTTTTTTATTCCTGATTTGAGGGGCTTGGAGGACAAGTGGAATTAGTGCAGTTTTTGCTATTCTAAAAACTCCGTGTTTTCAGTTTTAAAATTACTTGGAGCCTTATTATGGGGGAAGGAAAGTTTAAACTCTCTTTTTGATGAATTTTGCGCAAAATATATACTTTTGGACTAATTTTTGTCGAAATCCCTTGTATCTTATTTTCTCAAAAATCGCTCTCATCCCGTTTGTCTTTCGATCCCCCCCAAGTATAATGTTTCATATCATTCTTCAAAGCTCATTGTTTTTTTTTGTAGATTAAGTCCTTGTCTAATTTAGCATTTGAGTTAACTTAAAATATTGATGTTCCCAGTGTTAATTCACTGATGTTGAATTTTTGTGCAGACCCGTATTGCGGCACGTTAAGGACTCGGGCGAGACTAACATAGTGCTTGACTGTTCGGACGAGAAGCTTCATGAAGTTCTGAAACAGGCCCAGCAAGTTGGACTCATGGGCTCAGAGCACAGTTTTATCGTTACATCTCTCGTGAGTATTTACCCCTCGCTACGAATAGTAATGTTGCCTTGGGTGTGAGGGTCTTCTCGGAGGGGGAGGAAGGCTTCAAATTTAGACCCTCACACCTAAATCACCCTTAAAGTCCTCTTCTTTGATATATGCTTCACTGGAAAAAAAACACATTGGATCTAGAGTCCAGACTCTTAAAATCATCGACAAGAAAAAATACTCTTGATTCAATCTGATTTAAGCTTAAATCAAGGACCAATCCTCTTAATATGAGCGGATTTCCTTTTGATTTAAGCTTGAATCTGATTGAATCAAGAGTCCTTTTTCTTGTCAATGTTTCCAAGAATCTGGACTCTAGATCCAATGTGTTTTTTTTTTCCAGTGTTCCCCTTCCCTCCCAATCTCAGTTTTCTTCAATTATTTTTATTGTAATCAGTCTTTGCGGAAATTTGACTGTTTTTTTCGTTCATAATAAATCATTTTCTCAACGTATCCAATGAAATATTCAAATTTTAAAAAAAAAAAAAAAAAAAACTGCAACAATTTTGCTCGAGGTTAAAATATTACAGAAGATGTATCGTAAAAATAGCTATATTTTTAGTTACTTTTACGGGGAAACACGGGAAAACCCAACTTGAAAACTGAGCCTTTTAAAGGAAAACGGTATTAGAAAGTACAATTATAGATACTTTAATCGCACTTAAAGTTTTTAACTAATATTAGGGCGAAGAAAAGCCCTTGCGGGCACCTGTCCTTTTGATTAGAAAAGATCTGTTTTGTGCTGGTTACACGCTCAAATTTCCATCCATTTCCGAACAAATGGTAACTGGTGCGCACCATCTACCATCAAATTTCTGCGACCTGCAAAAATTTGATGGTAGATGATGGAGCTGTGTGGCTCATCCTTCATCTGATTTCCACACAACCGTTCTAATTTCATGCTTATTTCAATCAACACGCTGTTTTAATTAATTTTACTCATCAATCTAGATAACTCTCGACCGCCATCTTGGTCATCATTTTGAACGGAATTTGACGGAAATTTGAGCGTGTAACCAGGCCATTTCAGTGCTTAATTTTCAAGCCTGTCTAGCGGTCCTCAGATTTGTTCTATGATTTCAGAATCTACATGCAATGGATCTGGAGCCTTTCCAGTACAGCGGAACCAACATCACTGGAATGCGGTTGTTCGACCCGGATGATCCCCAGGTTCAGAACGTGGTCAGATATTGGATTGATTCGGAGCTCAGCGAAGGCCGAATTTTGGACATGACCCCCGAGAAGCTCCCTGTACGTCCATAAAATAATTTTTATATTGTGTGAGTTTTCGTTTTTGCTTCAGCCTCTTACTTCGTTATTTTATACGGCCACTCGACTAGACCCCTTAATTTATTAGGAGAAAAGAACCAGTCCATTATTTGGACAACATTCTGCAATGGAGATGTTGCATGTGTGAGGGATTTGCGATTTGACCATTGATTCTTATGTACAAATTCACGAGAAACACGATGGTGCCTCTGGTTTTCCCTGAAATCATCTCCCAAGCTCAATAAAAGCTCTCAAGTTGAGGCCAAAATGGAGGGGATATCCCACACTACCCTGAGAGTCCAACACTACATCAAAACAAACTCTCCATACAAAGATAGAGAGCAAATACATTAGCAGTGATGCCGTATTTTCAGTTTTGGAGTCCCCAAATAAAGTGGCAACCCTGCCAATGTAATTGCTCCCTATTTTTGCATGGAGAGTTTGTTTTGATGTAGAGGTGCACTCTCAGGGTAGGGTGGGATATCCCCTCCATTTTGGCCTCAACTTGTGAGCTTTTTTTGAGCTTGGGAGTTGATTTCAGAGAAAACTAGTGGCACCATCGTGTTTCTCGCGAACTTTTACATAAGAATCAATGGTCAAATCGCAAATCCCTCACACATGCAACATCTCCATTAGGAACTACCATTTTTGGCTCATTCGGTGAAACACATATTCGATGGAGAAATTAATGGTACATGTATTGTTTTTAGACTGAGCCAGAAATTATTGTTCCTTTTTGCAAACTGTCAACTACTTTGCCTATAACTCAGTAACTCAGTTGTATCAACACGCCCCCCCCCCCAAAAAAAAAAAAAAAAAACTCACAGAATTCTTCAATAATGGATTAGCAGCCGTATTTAATTTTTAGTTTCGCATGCTTTTTTGTGCCCATCTAAAAATTTTGAGCCAAAAATTAGTCACTCGCGTTGAGAGAAAAATTTAGAGCAAAAATTATGATATACTGTAATCGCGATACTAATCTTATTATTTTTAGCATGACACGTTGCTCATGATTTTTCTTTCATTTCCATCAATGAGTCGTGTACAGCCTCCTCCTTCCCCCCCCCCCTTTAATACTCACACCAGCTGCTTACAGTGTTTCTATTGTGGAAGCGGTATTTTCGTTGGTTTTAATTTTACTCTCCATCATCAGTTTTATATTGAGAAGGTAAAAAAATCTTGAAATGATGCTGCTGATTTAGCATATGATATTTCTGAGGGGGGGGGGAGGGGAGCAAGATAAATATCGTTCGGAGCCAGAAAAATGCGTCCCCTTTCTTCTTAGCATAGAAATAATTCATTTTCAGTAACTGATAAGATGCATCGCATTCTCTCGTGGCTCTCAATTCAACAACGTCACCAAAAATCTATCCTAGAAATCTTTTACGAACCAACTTTGTGTTTTGCGGAGAAAATTTTGTCCGTTGCAGTGGGATGCACTGACATTAAAAGGAATGCGCTGTGCACCAGAATCTACATTTTAGCACATGCGGTGGATGATGATTTTGCTTTACCCTTCAAATCCGCACTTTGGTTCAGCCGGCGCCCAGTGGATCATGGCAATTAGAGAAGTCGGACATGAAATTTTTGATTAAGGGGTGCTTCTTGAAGCTTTCACGAAAAAGCCGATGGAACCACTTGTAGAACTTCATAGTCTTGTATAACGGAGTTATAAGCGTTTAAAGTTTCCAAATTTTGTCCAACCTCTCTTATTGACTCGATCCACTGTTCTGCGACTGTACGCAGCTTATTCTTTCAGTACTTCCGCATATTCTTCCTCTTTTAGACAACATGCTCTCCTACGCTCCACTACATCCGATAGAGGCTAGAGCAAAATTGACTTTATTTTTCTCCGTGACTATCCAACTCCTTTCTTCATCACCCCGCTGTTGTCATCTGCAAGGTATGACATATTTGTATTAACACCTTTTTTCCAAGGTCGCTTCAAATTGGAACAGAGTATAGACACGAATCAGCAGCAGTGAACTATTCTGATAGAATTTTATTCTACCTACAGGTAGAGGCAGCGTTGATCCATGACGCAGTTCTCCTCTTCGCCAAGGCGTTCGAACATTTGAACATGAGCGAGGAATTGGCGAGCGCACCGCTCCAGTGCGAGGAGGCTTCCAGCTGGGACCAAGGATACAGTGTTATCAACTATATGAAAGTTGTAAGTCCTTGAGCATTTCGTATATTTCAGCCACAGAAAAATTAGAAAGTATTGAGAGGAGTATGGCTGTTCTTTATCAAATGGCTGCAACTCGCAGGCTTTAAACTTAACGTGCGCCTTTAATTTCGAAGGTGATGGAACTCGCACTACATACGACGGGCATAAAGTTTGGTTACAGGGACGAAGCTTTGGCTCATGTTTATGAGCACATGCTAAACGTTTTGGTTTAGATACAGCTATCTTCCGGTCATTGGATCGGAATTTCGGTTTTTTTTTACCGAAAACTTCGGAATAATATCTGAACCAAAAACGTTCGGTGTTCAGTGATTACTCAACTTTTTTCCTTTGTTTGAGACGAATTTGCGAAATCTTGGATTTGCACCTCGCAACATAACAAAGTCGCCACCCTTCAGGAAAGCGATCGGTGTTACGGAAAAGTTGTACAGAAAATTACGCCATGGTGGTTTTTTGCATATTTCAACAATTTAAGCAGTTTTCTCTATCTTTCACTCGGTGTATGGGTTGAACATGTAGTTTCCTAACCAGCTTGAGAATTATCCCTTGAAAACAAAACTGAGATACATAAAAACACGCATGTGTACACACAAAGTATTTTGTAAACCTCAGGATGTCCAAAAGTCAGAACAAGGTGCTGATTTATAAAAAAGGATCCCTTCCCTTCAGCCCCAGTGGATCATGAAAGATATATCAAAATTACTATCTATTAGCACAAAGTAATTGCACCTGCAAGCACAGGGAATGAAATTAATAACAAAAATACAGTTTAGCGCACATCGTCATCTTCCAGCCAAGCGCCATGCGACGTTTTAAAACTTCCACCGCCGTTTCATTTTTTTACAAAGAAATGGACCACTAGACAAGGTACGAATTAAAGCATTTTGATACACGTTTCTTAACCAGAATTTTACGTAGAGCACGATTCCCGCAACGAAAACTAATGAAACAAACTCCAAACGAAGATATTAACGTTTTTATTTCACATTGGTTACGAGGAATTTGAACTGCCCACTAACAAGAAACTCAAAGCTCTACGTGAGTCATACGCGCACCACAACGGTTTCAACAAGCTTCTCAATCGAGTAATGTTCATTTTCCACCATGTGTTGTTCAAACTATAAGCAATTTGCTACAGCTGAGCCAAGGCGTCAAGATTGAGGTTGCCAGATTTCTATGTCGCAGAGACTGTCATGATAACGTTTAACCCACGATGTGAATCACGTAGAGCATTGAGTTTTCATGAGCGGGTGGTTTGAATTCACGCATCAAGAATCATTAAATATCTCTGGAAGGAGTTGATTTCGGTAATTTTCGTTGTGCGCGTCGTATTTTACGTGAAATTTTAGTTGAGAAACATGTATCAGAATGCTGAAATTCGTACCTTGTCTAGTGGTCCATTGTTGGTCAAATCCGTTTGAAAATTTCACTGAATTTTATCATCCGCACGAAGAAAATCCGATGAAATTTTCAGACAGCTTCGTTGAACAATTTCTCTGTAAACTAATAAAATGGCGGCGGAAATTTTAAAACGTCGCATGGCGCTTGAGAAACTTTGACCGACAGGTGACGACATTATGAGAGAGGTAAAAGGGAGAGGGAACCTTATCAACTTACTTAAGGGTAGCAATGGAAAATACTTTGGTCTGAATATTTTTCAACTGTTTACGTCCAAAAGCAAGGAGGGAAAATTGGGGGCCATAGGCGTGCGCCTAGTGCGCTTACATGGTAAATCCGGTCTTTGCACGGTCATGATGCTTGACTAATGGTCCATTAAACGTTGGGCGGACATTTGCGGTGGTGTGGGGGTGACAACGGAATGGAATTGAGATATGTTTGACAAGCACCCCGCGCCCAGTGCCCTGTCACGAGGCACAGTGGATCGCTTCAAGTAGAGACATCGGATATGACATTTTTTACTAAAATGACAAATTTTGATGTTTATTTTGTCAAATTTTAAATTTCGTGGGGTGCTTTGAGAAGAAAATTTCACGAGAAAACCAATGGAGCCACTTTTAGAGCCTCAGAGTTTTGTATAAACGGAGTTACAAGCTGTTAAAGTTTCAAAATTTTGTCCGACGTCCCCTATCGGCTTAATCCACTGTGCGACGCAAACTAACGTGCTCGAGCCGGAGCAAATGCGCGACCGCGGAAACCGCAGTCAGGAAACTCGGAAACTTGCTTTCCGGCTCCCCGAACATCCCTCTCAGTTCATCCGCCCCAAGTCACGTCCCAGTCCCGGTTCTCCTCGAGTGAGGATCTTCGATTTTGACTAATCGATTCTCGTAATCGATAACCAGCCCAGTTTTGACGACCGATTGCCTCGATGAATCGAAATTTACTGAGGAACAAATCAAATAATAAAATTTCATCTATTATTTGAGATCGGAAGTTTCGTTTTTATTTTTAACTAATGCGCACTGAAAACAAAAACACATTGGATCTAGAGTCCAGCCTCTTAAAAACATCGACAAGAAAAAATACTCTTGATTCAATCGGATTTTTGCTTAAATCAAGTACCAAGCCTCTTAATTTGAGCGGATTTCCTTTTAATTTAAGCTAAAATCTGATTGAATCAAGAGTATTTTTTCTTGTCAATGTTTTCAAGAGTCTGGACTCTACATCCAATGTGTTTTTTTCCAGTGTGCTGATGCAAAAGGTAAAGGATTTTAATCTCTACTTATGACTAGTATTATTTCAAATTTTAATTTTTTGTGTGATTACATTTTTAAATAGTTAAACACTTAATTTATTACCTAATTTAATTGGTTATTTAATTCAAGGTACGAATTATAGCATTCTGATATAATGTTTCCTTCTCCAAAATTCATGTGGAACACGATTTCTAGAACCGAAAGAACCAGTAGTAACTCCTCACCAAGATCATAATGTTTTAATTTAGCAACTCGTGAGAGTCGCCCTTAACTGGTTGCTGTCCTAAATGACAAGCCTTTTTTTACTCGTTTTTCCAGAGCTAGTCGATATGCCATTTGTGAGGGGAAATTTAGCAACATTGAAATGAAGTTACGTTTTTTCGTGAGGGAAACAACAAATTGAACTGAATTTTGCAATTTGGAACTATAAAATCTAGCCCGGTTGAAAAACGACTTATGTGCCATTAGTTTCCCTATGCACGTAAGAGTTTTTCCAGGAGAGTCAGAATTCATAGTTCCAAATTGCAAAATGCAGTCCAATTGATCGATGGACCATTGAATCGCTCTCTGAAGTGCTGAAGATGCATGCTAAACGGAGAAAAAACAATATTGCCAACTGGACTACATTTTGCAATTTGGAACTATAAATTCTAACCCGGTTTAAAAACAACGTATGTGTCATTAGTTTCCCTATGAACATAAGTGTTTTTCCGGAAGAGCCAAAATGTATAGTTCCAAATTGCAAAATGCAGTCCTACTAGTGAGAGTCGCTCCCGACTGATTGCCGGCTTAAATAACAAACTTGTTGTACTGTTTTTTGCAGAGCGAGTTGAAGGGGTTGACTGGGCATATCGTGTTCGACCACGAGGGGTTCCGGACGAACATCCACCTGCAGCTGATCGAGCTGACGGACGAGGGGCTGAAGCAGCTCGGGACGTGGAACACGAGCGAAGGTCTCCGCATCATCAAGGCCGAGGCAGATGAAGACGCCTCCGCAGCAGCCCAGACCGAAGATCTCCGCAACATGACCTTCATCGTCATCACTGCTCTCGTGAGTCCACAGTAGTTGAAAACACGTTGGACGTAAATCAAAAAGAGGGATGAGAGGTTGTCTTAGGGCTGATTGTGAGACCTCTGCGGGCTGATTATTGAAATTGATAGACAAAGCTATAGATAAAGAAGACATAAGAAGTATAGAGCGACCCTATCGGTTGAAACCGGGTACTTCTTATAGACTAAGGGAGAAAATGATGGACTAACTATCGGGTCTCTCGTGGGTTGCCGTTAGTTAGTCTATTACCCACGTCCTTTGTCCATTGCAATCACCCGCTTCCACCAACAGGATCCCTCCAAATCCCTTTTGTCGCCTTTGTCTATAGCTTTGTCTAAAAGTTTCAATAATCGGTCCGCTGGTCAGGTGCTTGTCCACCATGTGGTGTCCACTTGTGGTTTGAGCACCAGAGGTATACGTGTGTACATGACTCCCGGTTTCCTTCAGGTCAAGTCCTGGTCAGCCTTTGTTCTGTCTCGCAAACCAGTAGTTAAGCTGATTAGCAGATTGACACCTGGTCAGAGTCTGACCGCTGGTTTAGTGAACAGAGGTTGACAAGAGATCTTACAAACGGCCCTTAAAGGTAGCCCTTACAGAGCGGAGCGGGGTCAAGAAACCGACTAAAATGTCATAGGTGATACTTGGTCGGTCCTCAAGTTAGTCCACAGAGGGACATTTTTCGGGGATGCAACTATTCGTGTTCTGGGGAAGTCCGTGTTGCATCGATCAAATTGAAGGCGCTTTCGCTTTCTTTTTACCCTGCCAAAGATGCTGATGCGGAAGGCGCGCCATGCGTGGGTTATCAAGTGACGAATGTTTTGGAGTACGAATTTGCCCTCACTTTAACAAATTTGGAAGAAAGCTATGATACCCTACTATTTCATACCGCATACTTGGTATTTAGAATACTATCATAACTCTGGTTTTTGGCATTTTTACTTTTTTCTATGGTTGATAATGCACAGGAAACTGGACGAAACATTCCGCATTTGTTTTTGATTTTTTGTTGTTCGGCCATGCGTAATTGCCTTATCTGTTCTGTGCTCTTCATTTAATAATACCATTGGACCTTTTTCAATTCGACAGAACGTCATTCACACTCCATCATCAACTCAACACATTGTTGGATTTGCTTACGTTTACATGCAAATCTTTTGCCTATCCAATGAAGTAAATTAAACTGTTTTTGCCGATACATTTTGATGATGCATCCCTCGGTTAGGGTGCTGTAAAATTATTCCTCCCTCTATATTTTCACGATAGAATATACTTAACATTTTTGTGCGAGATTTTGGCTATCTAATGGAATCTAGGTTCAGAGTTTCGTTGTTATACTATTCACGTACTTAATTTCTCGTGTGCATTGCATTAAATCTAGTTGAATGATTCACTTTAAACCTTGCCCATATCTTTTGAAGCGCGATACGATTTTTCTTTCAACCCACTCACTTCATGCTGTTGTTGGTTCTTGGCGTAATTTACAGAGAAAACCCAAGGAAAATATGGGGATTAAGAGAGGGATATCAAGATAAAATTCATTATTCATGTTAATTAAAAAATATGATCGTTATACTTAAAATTACGGAAGCAGCGCACCCGATGTTGATTTTTACTGCCCTGTTCGGTCTCATTTTCACCCGTTATCGGGTTGCTGCGAGATAAGCGCAAAATTTTAATTGCAAGTGGGTGTCATGTTTATCTCCATCGCATTGAAACTTCATTTTTAGGGGAAAAACACCAACGGCAAAGCTTCCCCAAAGGCCTTTTTGCAGGAGTGGATATTGGAAGCTCTAATTTAATCTGATCTCTACTCCTACGGAGTGGACCTTTCAAAACATTGAATTATTGCTTCCTTTGAAGGAAGGAAGGCTGGGAAATGGGTGTGAACAATCTAATATCATGAAAAAAATGTTTAGCCTTAGAATATCAATTTAACCACGTTTTGGACCGAGGGTACCATGTAATATTTCAACTTAAAAATCAATTTTTTTCGCAGAAGCACGCTCAACATTATCATGCCCGTTTCAGTTGAGGTATCCTTGATTCTCAAATTTTACAATACAACAGGGGTGAAAAGTTATGGTGGTGAAAAAATAGTCCAAAGGATTTTTACATAGTGCATATAGAGCCGCTTTTATAGCGTTCTCTGGCGCTCTGCGACACCTAGCCGCCAAAGTTCTCTGTCCTCCCAAAGCCTTTCAGAGAGTTGGCACACCCTCATTTCTTCCAAAACCCCCTGTCGCCACCCTTTCACTGGGCGTCCCCTTCGTCTTCCTTTCAATTCAAAGGATTTTTGCCAAGAGAAATTATCCTCATTTCAACTTTTGAGAAAACCTATGAGTTGTTTTCCATTTTCATTTTAGACGCCTCCGTACGGAATGCTGAAGGAGTCAAGCCACAAACTAGAGGGCAACGATCGGTTCGAGGGCTACGGCATCGATTTGATCCACGAGCTGAGCCTCATGAGCGGTTTCAACTACACGTTCCGGATCCAGGCCGACAAGAGCAGCGGGAACCCGGACCCGCGGACCGGTCGATGGAGCGGTATGATCGGCGAAGTCCTCGAAGGGGTAACCGATTCTTATACCCACCAATTCACCATCCATATTTAAGGGGCTTGGAGTGAATTTTAAAAATACCTTCTTGAAGCAAAGATTTCGACAGGTTTTGTGCAGACTCAGAGTGCTTGGGGAATAGTGCAATTTATTGAAGGACTTGGAGGGCAAGGCAGGCTTATTCATCAAGGCACAATAATTGAAATAGCCTTCATACACGCTGGCCTTGTCGATTTCCTTGACAATTTTGCAGTCGTGAATGCACAGCTGAATTGCGCTCCAGCTAGAATTGTATTTAGCAAATGGGTGGCTTTTATACGAGGATTAAAAATAAACAAGTGGTACGGAATATAACAAAAGAATATGATGTATGCAAAACGATTATCCGGGTGTCGGAACTTGGCTGTTTTAAAAACGCCTTCAAAAGCGGCGTGATACCTCACGCATTCCGGAGAGTTCAAATAGTTGTATCATTGCGCCTTAGAAATGCGACGGAAGATTACAATTGAAATTGCCTTCATGCACGCTGGCCTTTTCGATTTCCGGTAACATTTTTGCAGGCATGAATGCATAGCTTAAGTGCGCTTCAGCTAGAATTGTATATTGCAAGTGGGTAATTTTTATAGGAGGATTATAAATAAACAAGTGGTTAGAAATGAAAAAAAAAAATAATATGAACTATGAAAGACGAGTATCCGGATATCGGAACTTTGCTGTTTTGAAAACGCCTTCAAATGCGACGTGATACCTCACGCATTCCGGAGAGTTCAATACTTTTTCCTCAAAACGCGGTTTCCAGTTATAGGCTGTTCTTGGTGCGGTGTCCTCAATTATGTGATCAGCGCAACTAACCCATTATTGAAAAAATGTCACCTTAAAATTCGGATCTTCAGTAACAGCTTCATCTGTCACAGAGGAGTGCAGTAACGTCATCATTTTCGAAATTGAGTCTCCTTCAAAATTCCATAAATATAATTTTAAATTTAATCAATGAGAACGAATACACACCAACTCGAAAAAATTAAAATGATCAAGACACACAAAAAACTGAAGAAGTTGGTACAAGATAAAAATTTTTGGTGCCCAAAGACAAGTGCTTAGGGACACTTTAAAGGTCAAAGTTGGAACAGATGCGTTAACTCTGATGATCTTTATGAAAACTGACTCTTTTTAATGAAAATTGAGCATTTTTCAGTTACCGAGTTGGTGTGTTTTCGTTCTCGCTGATTCAATTAATGATTTATTTAAAACAGTAAAATTCGCTTTGTTTTTTTTTAAAAAAAGGTAAATAAATAAAAAATAAAAATAAATAATTATAAAATACGAGAAACCATTTTGAGCGCAAAAAAATGCCACTTCAGGCGAAACCGAAAAAACGCTAAGGACGGTCAAAATTTACCATAGCACGACGTTAACACCTTCGCTCGTAGCTTATTACTGTATGAAAAAAATTACCTTAATTCATTCTTAGCTATCGTAGAAAATGTTTCTAATTTGTGCACCGTTTATATTCACTTGGTTTTTGTGCTTTCAATCTTAATGTGGTTGTTCTTTAAATGTTTTTCAGCGAGCAGATTTGGCCATCGCTGATTTGACAATCACACGTGAGCGAGAGAGTGCAGCTGATTTTACGTTACCATTCATGAATCTAGGTACGTAATTCACTCATTTAAAAGTCGGTTCGTAAAGTCCTCTTTTAATTTCCATTAAAACATGTTTGTCAAAATATAGGATTCTATTTACAAGATGAGATTACCAAGCCTTTATATCTAAGTGGATGGTTCTCACCATAAAAAATCGTTGTTGACTTTGATTAAAATCAAGATTTTTCGGTAAAATTCCAATTGAGAATTTGTACTCATCGACAGCTTCGGTACGTTTGTAAATAATGGATATGATCATAACGGATTATGATCTCAGTAAAACTCTTGGCTATACATGTGCCGCAGGTAATTATCAAGGGGCGGCTTTAAATGCGGTTTGTGAGCAGCGTTGACGAGTCGAATAATTCATATCGGCCTATTAAATGTTCGATTGGTAACGGACTTCGAAAGTATCCTCTCATGGGCGCCTTCATATTCCGGCAATACTCTATGCTTTCCTAGGTACCGTTAGATTAGTTGCCTATTCGATCTACATCCAAGGAAGCAGGACAATGATTTTACTATACACGCTTAAGCGAGTTCATCAGCTGCTGTCTAGCATTCGAGGAACATTAGGCGTCTATTTCAATCAGAGCAAATATTGATCGCTTTTTTGTCTTTGTATTTTTTACTGTAGAAGTCTATACTTATCAATTCATCACATGCAGCTGTTTGCATCAGTTGCAAGGCGTGAATGATCGATTATTGATATTTCCCCATTTGAAGCTACATGGTAAAGAATCGATTATTAAGGTGTTCGTTACGAACACCTTGTCTATCGATCCTTTTTTGTAGGATTAAAGGTAGACCAATCGGTATATCGCAAAGCCACTGGCTTGTATATTCCTTGCGATCGCTCTTTACCTACGGCACATGAATTGAAAGTTTACAAAGAAATCTTAGTGAAGACTTTTTTTCTTTTCCGGTTTCAATTTTTTTCACTGATGCATTCTTGAACTTCCACTCTTTGTTCCCTCAGGAATCAGTATTCTATACAAGAGTCCAACAAAATTGGCACCAAGCTTGTTCTCTTTCCTTTCACCATTCAGTAATGAGGTTTGGATTTACATGATAGCAGCATACGTTGGCGTTTCTGTTTTACTTTTTATCATGGCCAGGTTCGTTTCCAAAAATGTATTTTCTTCTCCCATTTTTTAATTTTGAACTTTTTTTCTCAAATACATTAGCTCTAGCATGGTTCAATAATCAAATAAGAGGAGTATGACAGAACTCCTATGTGCCACTCGTTAAAAATGATTATTTCGAAACAAAATCCCTTTAACTCAGAAAATTATGGGAAAAAAAGGTGGTAGTAATTTTTCAGCTTATGTGTAAATGTGTTGCTTCATATAAGTTGACTTATTTGAACCAATGCATTTATTTTGAAGCAAATCGCATCCAAAAGAATATTGACGAGGGCATGTTATTATCGGTTCATCATTTCCCATGCTCACCTGAATTGAGTTACTACTTGTGTCTAGAATTGATGAGGGTAAAAAATTCTCCTGCAACAATGACATTTATCTTGCATTATTTAATATTTCTATACATTTAAAAAATAGTTGCCGTTTGTATCAAATGGTTAATTGATGTCTAATTTTCATTTGAAACTTTCAGGATCAGCCCTTACGAATGGAATAATCCTTACCCTTGCATCAAGGATCCCGAGGAACTAGAAAATCAATTCAGTCTTTTGAACTCATTCTGGTTTACTATTGGCTCTCTTATGCAACAAGGCTCTGAAATCGCGCCAATGTAAGTACATATTTTTTAAAGTCCCTGCAATGAAGTTAAACTAGTTTATTGTACCCTTGATGTCGTCCCTTTTTTTTAAAAAAAAATCAAAATTATTGATAATTACACAGAAAAAAATGTATCGCTGATATAACAATTAAAATGTTAAAAAATATGTCCGACATGTTTCAAATGTACATTTTACATAGTGGAAAGCTAACTTAACCACGGGGGCGGTTAAAGTAGCATTTTTTTGTCGTAAAATCTACATTGAAACAGGTCGGATACTTTTTTTAACTACAAAATTGTTTAATCAGTAATTTTATTTTTCCGCGTAATGTGTGTTTTTTTCCGCGTTTTTCCGCTCCGATTCGCCTGAAAAGCTTACGCTCCTTTCTATTGAAAAAAAAGTTGAAAATTTTTTGAGTTTAATTTGTAATAATCCTCATTGCAGAGCTCCGTCAACGCGGATGGTGGCTGGCATCTGGTGGTTTTTCACGCTGATCATGGTTTCATCCTACACTGCCAACTTAGCCGCTTTCTTGACCGTGGAAGACTTGTCATTGCCCTTCAGAAATGTGGAGGAGCTCGCCAATCAAAATACGATAAAATACGGTGCTAAAGCTGGTGGATCAACGGCAAATTTCTTCCGGGTAAGTGCCGTCAAAATGACCTGTTCCATGACATCTGACATGCATTCAGTAAGATATACACGGTGAGGACAGTCTAAACAGTCGAAAATTTATGCATTTCAAAACAACTAAACACGGTTGACCTCTTAAGATTTTCTTACAATCAAAGAATCGTGTTTTTTACATGCGTCCTTGCAGATTTTTTTAAAATTGACTTTTTCTTCTATAAGGTTGTTTCCGAAAGTTTAAATTGTTTGTACAAACCATGATTTTTCTTAGTTTTGATGCCGGCCATCGACCAAATTTCATGAAAACAGCTACCGGTTCCCCCTTTAATTTTCAGCGCTAATTCATCCATGGCCTAAAAAATATCGTGTTCTCAAGTTAAAGAAGGAATTCAGGGAGTTTTAGAGAGTCTTTGATCTGGAAGAGTAAAGACGATGGCGTTTCATTCATTCTCTTGATAACTACAAACTGCGGGGGAAAAGATGCTAGTGGCAAGTTTCTAGATTTTTTTACACCCAATGCAATGGTGCTCGGAAAATAGAACCTCCATGGGCCAAGAAACCCATTTTCTACTCTGAGACATTCAAAATCCCTTGAAATCCCCTAAAATTCCCATTTAACTTGAGGTGTCGATGTTTTAGGGCCACGGGTAAATTTGCAGCTAAACATCATGGAACCCAACTTTATCTAATGTTTTATTTATTTCAGTACCGTAAAAATATAGGGAGATTCGTGATTTTCCCTTAAATTTGAGTGGGGGGGGCGGGTGCAGTAACTCCAACTGAGAGTACTCTTGGGGGGGGGGGNAGACTTCATAGAGATAAAAATTATTTTTTTGACAATGTATTTGTATAAAATAATTCCCACAATCTGACTGTTTACCATAATTACTGGTTCTAAGAACCGGGACCCTTCGTCGCGTTACCGGGCAACTTGATCCTGAACACCACGTACGGTTTCCGCCTCCGGTCTTTGCCCAGCTCCCCTCGGCCCGGATACATCGACGGAAGGAAATTCAACTGATCGACCGTGAAGTACAAATAGCCGTCCTCCCCTACGCTGAACCTCGACACGAAATTGATCCGTTTATCCCGAACGAGGAGCACCACCAAACCGGTCCGGGGGTCGTACACGAATATACCATCCTGCTCGAAGTTCCCGCCGTACACGAACCCCATCGAGTCGGAGACTATAGCCGCCGACCACCCTTTCTCACCGAGGTTCCGTACCGAACCGATGATCTCGAGACCCGGCGTGAACCGGTTCCGGAGAAGATACGTTGGCACCGAGAAGAAGTAACGACCAGCCGGGGAGTAATAGAGAGTCTCAGTATCTGGTGACAACGCTAGGCCTCCGACTCCGATCGACACGAACTCCACACCCACGATCTCCCCACTGGCGCTCCTGCGTATCGTGTACACCGGGTCGCCGTAGATAAAGGGGACGAAGTAGGGGAACGCGGTGACCGAGAAGTCTCGCTCCAGAACGCGCCAGGAATCGCCGGTTTCCAAGTCGATGACGACGAGGGCGTTGGCCCGGGTCCCGGGGCTCGCGTCGCCGATGTACGCGAAGCCGCGGGAGGTGCGCACGTCCGAGAAGTAGGAGATCGGCGTGGCCACGCTCGTCGGGAACGTGAAGACTCTGGTGATGGTGTCGTTGGTCAGGTCGATGGAGACGAGTTTCGGGCCACCCGGTGAGGATTCTAGCATCACTCCGGCGTATGAGACCCGGCCGGTGTCCAGGACCCACAGGGTGTCGAGAAAGTCGATGACTATGGCCTGTACACCTGGGAAACAGTGATCGAAAGGAGTAGAAATTGAACCATTGGTGAGAAGGAGCCAAGTGATTTGAGCTCGAACGGAGAAAAGATTCGACTTTTCTGCCCGCCTTGAGTTAGTATCGAACGATTAAACCTTGCTAACAAAATATCAAGGTCGGGTGTTGTGATTGGCTTATTCGATGACTTGGACCAATCACAACATTTTAGCTTGATATATTGATAGCGCGATTTGATCGTGTGACATTAGCTATGAAGAAAGACGTACAAAGACATTGAAAAGGACAAACTGCAAGCTAGTCCAACTTTCTCGTTCTGAATTCTTTCTGATAATGTTTTTTTTTTTTTTTTTTTTTTTTTTTTTTTTTTTTTTTTTTAAAGCTAAAACAAGTATAACTTCACTTAATTTTTGCCTTAATGTCACTTACAGGTACCTCTCGTTATATTGTTCAATCGACCCTTTACAAATACTAAAAAAAATGTTTTAACTTTTATTGATAAAACGAGACTATTAGGTATTAAACGTCAAAAATAATATGTAAAGTCGAATATTTTGAATATTCTCTATTGAACTATATAAACGTAAAAAAATAAAAGTATGAGGCCCGTTTACATCTCTTCTATCTTTGGTTGTATTGCTCACGCAACCCTTGAGGCACCACCATTAGACAAACGGAAACTAACACAGTATGGAAATATGTAGAGCAAGGGAAATTATGCGCGTTGATAACGGCACAGAGATACAACTATTCGTACTTGACGGATGTCTGTGTCACATCTGCAAAATTGAAGGCGCGATGGCGCAAGGCATGAACACGGAATGCTCCGTTCTAAGATGCCAATGAGGTGTCATTCGGATTCGGGAGAAAAATTTAAAAATGAGTCCCTGTTACGTCTTTCCTTTCTTCGCCTGTGTTAACACTCGATTGTTTCTTTTTTTCAATTTGATGTCTGATTCTTTTTTAGGATGTATTCGCGAAACTCTATCCGAAGCTCGTATGCGCAAGCCCCATACTAGCCGCAAGGCACGTTTTTATAGCAAGCCTCTGGTCAATTTGACCCGGTTTGGGCATTTAAGGGGTAACTTTCCATTTTCCATCTCATATAGTTATACATCTAGAAAACTCTGTCGAATTCCGTGATTTTTACATCGTCAACAAGTAATGATCTCGAAATGAGCCAGCTTTCTTCATTTAACGAAGGTTTCTCATTGATTAGAAACTTTAGATGGGTTTGGGCCTCATAGTGCCCAGGAATTTACCCACATTGATTCTGAAAATCATCTGTTCATTTTAACTTAAAATTGAAATAAATAAAATATAATAAAGTCAACAGGTGATGTGTGAAAATAATTATTTTGGAAAGATTTTCATGGTGCTATGTCAACATTTTTACCTAGAAAGTAGTTGGATAGACCCTTCGTTCGGGGGATTGGACCTGAGAAGTCTATGGAGCCGTTGGGTGGGTTGTTGATGGATGCGTTGGGGTAGGGCGTTTCGGAATCGAAAGTGGTGAGTTCTGAGACTTGGATTGCGTTGTTGGTTCCGTTGTTAGTATTCTGCGCGTCGAAGCCGGCCGGGTAGCAGGAGAACTTACGACCGGACGCGGATACGGCTATGCAAGCAGGGAACTGCCCGTAGAACAGGTGGACGATCTCCAAGCTGGAACTTTGCCCAAGGGGATCCTCAGGGATGTTGCATGTTGCCGTGGCGAGAAGTACGGCCAGGATGAGCATTATCGCGCGCACCGTCATTTTGTACAAAAATCCCTAACATAACTTCAAAAAAATCGTGTCTTGGAAAAATTCTACTTCCTAAAAATACTAAAAAAGTGACGAAAGAAACGTTAGTTCAGTTCGGCTTCTAAAATTGAATATGAGTACAAAAATTCCAATGACTTCACCTCTAGACTCACAAGGAACACGCATCTAAACAAAGAGCCGAGTAAATTAAAAACGCTTCCAAGCTTTCAAGTTTTAACACACGTTAAAAATAGTTTTGTGTGTTATCTTCTTTGTTTTTCTTCCGAACAATGCACTCCACTATTCTTGCATCGTTTCTGATGACCGTGGCTTAGCTGACCAGGTCATATGTGGTTATGTAACAGTTTCCCTCTTCCTATTTGTGAAATGTGCATGTCGTAACGGGAGGCATTCTTCAACTTACATATTTAAGAGATGTTTAAGGTGATTCGTCAAGCTCAAGTGACGTGGTCGAACTGGTATGCGATATATCGCATCTTTTAGGTAAAAAATCTCGGCAGATTTTGAATTGTTAGCAAAAAAAAGGACGATAGCCCCTGCGCATGAGCCTGAAGAATCATTCTAAACCCAAAAATCGGCAAAATTCAGAGAAATGAAAACAGGATAGTGTTTGGAAAAAAACCTCGCATTCGATACCGAAATCGATAGCTGAATCGAATGCGAGGTTTTTTTCCAAACACTATCCTGCTTTCATTTCTCTGAATTTTGCCGATTTTAAGGTTTAGAATGATTCTTTAGGCTCGTGCGCAGGGGCTATCGTCCTTTTCTTTACTGAAAATTCAAAATCTGCCGAGATTTTTGACCTAAAAGATGCGATATATCGCATGCCAGTTCGACCACTTCTTTTGAGCTTGACGAATCACCTTAAGTGGCAGCGTTACCTCTATCAGCAAAGCTTCAGGAAAAGCATTTAAAAATACATTGAGATTTATTTTTAAGGTGAGTCAAGAAATTGTTCAAAGGAAGTAATATTTGCATGATTCGTCATTGAAGTTTAATTTAACTGATAGGTAATTAACATTTTTTCTGCCCTCACCTTCATATAAAGTCGTTTTGGAACTTCATAGTTACAAGAACCACTTCAATGATTGTTTAAAGGAAGTACACGTTTCTGTAAAAAACATAAGAAATTTTGATAGGTTACATAATAATTAAATAGAATTTCTCGTTAGGATGTACTTTTCTTAGTTGTATGCAAAAGTTAGGCAGACAATATTTATCAGGGTATCAGCACTATGTGTGAAAGAAAATGCCCAAGTTTTGATGGAGCTACGGCGTTTTTGCTGCGGACGACAGAACAGATCCACCAGTGGCGTGGCGTGAATTGCGATATATCGATTGTTATGCCATTTAAACCTATGAAAAAAGATCGATTATCAGGGTGTTTGCAGCGAACACCTTAGTAATCGATTCTTTACCATAGCTTCAAATGGCGATGTATCGATAATCGATCCTTCACGCCACGCCACTGCCACCAACTTATGAGAGTCCCTGCCGTCTTATGATGGAGATCATTATCTTCATCGTGAGACAGGAAAATGGACTTTTCCTGGTGGCAAATGGTCTCGGACGATGTAGAGTCGACATTATCTTCGCGATTTCTGCGAGAAAGAAAATGAATACGTACGAGTGACCCACAACGTGTTGATCCCTGTTATGTGTTGTCTTTACTGTTTCCATGCTTGAACGTTCGCTGAAGCGTCTTTATTTTTATTTCATATCGGTGGCGTGGCGCGTGGCGTGCTTTGCGATATATCGATTGATCAGCCATATTTACTCATGAAAAAGCATTAATAAACAAGGTGTTTGCAACGGTCATCTTAATAATCGATTCTTTACCATAGGTTTAAATGGAGAGATATCGATAATCGATTTTTCACGCCTTACCGCTGTTTCATAGGTACCCTGGTATGTTTCCACATCTTTTGATTTTTTTCTTTCGCATCGTGATGCTGATTTGGAAAATGTTGCTGCGGCCTAAGTTAAAAAATATAATTGTATTCCACTTAGCACATGTTCATACTTTAACGTGACGCACTTCTTGAATGAAAAGTATATAGAAAAACTTCATTGGCAAGATAATGAAATTCTGCAATGAGTGGCAGCATTCGAATTATGTCGGTCACTAGTTTATAAAAAAGCCGGATCTGCGGTAAGTAAATTGTAATGAAGGAAAATAATTGTCAGGACGTGATTTGTTCACTCAGTTTCATTTAAAACATTACATTTTGCAGCTAAAATTAAATGCAAAACTTTAATAACCTCCTTGAGAATCAAACGAAGTTGATGAATTGATAAAAATTTAGTTAAATTAAACTTTTAGTTAAAATGTTGCATTCATGTGTAATTTCTCTTGTTTGAATGAGTGAACTTTAACTTAGTAGTTCAAAGTTTGAGACATAGAATTGAATAGAAACAACATTAAAATTAAGGCGTGATTCACTTTTCAACCAGGAAATTTTAAAAGATGTTTGGTTTCATTCCCATCACATGAGAATTAACATTTCGGTGTTCCGTTGTCATTCAGATGCTCTGAAAAAGGGTCAAATCCGTTTCTACAGTTCGAGCCGTCAAAGACGAAAGTATTGAAAGCAGCTACTTCCGGATGAGAGACAGAAGAGGAACTCTGTTTTCTTCTCTTTTCAGGGTCCGTATTCAGAGAATTGAAAAGCCAAAAACTTACACGGAAATGCGCGTTTGTTACGGGAAACACAACTTCCTCTTTCAAGTGTGAGGCAGCAGCTAAAGTTCTACGATCCGGACCGGCCGACTACTCGACTTTTCTCTGCCACTTTTTTCCTGTCTATGTTTGTGCTCTTGGAAAAAACGTTCCATTATTTTCACACAGCATTCGTTTTATCATGACCCCTAGGTATACGATCCGCACAGCTGTTCGCTTCCTCTCAAAACTTTGGTGTCATTGGGCGTTTCTACTGTCGTAAGGCAATGAAACAGTATGTTTTAAGATAAATCAGGCAATTTTGCAATTTTAAAGACAGGGCTGAGTTCAGCGCCGACAATTTTGGGAGGCAGTTATTTTTCATACATTTTAGTCCATGAACGTCGACAAAATTGAGTAATTCAATGGTTTTATCGAAAGCTTGGGGCCCTGCGACTGCGAGCTGACTATTGCCATTGATAGACAAAGCGATAGACCAGGGAGATACAGAGGAAAGGGAGCGACCCTGCCGATAAAAGCTGGCGGTTGCAATAGACAAAGGAGGTAAGTAATAGACTAACTATCGGCAACCCACGGGAGACCTTATAGTAGTCCATCATTTCCTCCTTAGTCTATAACAATCACTAATTTCAACCGATCGGATCACTTCATTTTTCCGTCGTCTTCTTTGTCTATTGCTTTGTCTAGCAATTTCAATAATCAGCCTGCTGGCCGTAACTCCCACTGAGGGCACCTTAGTAGAAAACTTCATGCAGAAAAAAGGTCGCACTTAACTCTTAGAACACGGCCCCGAGTCTTGGCGGTTTGACCGAGGGACACTCTATAGAAGGTGATCGAAAATTCCCGCACAACCAACACCTGCAGGCATCGCCCATGTAACTTTTGATCTAATTGTGATAGAGACTTGCAATTTTGTAAGTATTCCTAGGTCAAAGGAAACGATGTGTGGGAACCCCTAAAATGTTCAAGGTACCACCTTGAAAAAGGGCGAGAAACTCAGGAGTTACAGTGATGGTGTGGGACTTTTAGATCACCCTGTATATCGTAAAACTTTGAAATTTGAATATAAAAATGACTGTTACAGGACTCAAACCACTCGACCTACCAGAGAATGTGGCAGTATATGGAGGCAAATCCAGAGGTCATGACTAACTCGAACCAAGAGGGCGTGGACAGAGTCGTGAACGAGGACTACGCTTTCCTGATGGAGTCAACCTCCATCGAATACGAGGTCGAGCGCAAATGTCAACTGTCCCAAGTTGGAGGACTCCTCGATAACAAGGGCTACGGAATCGTCATGAGGAAAAGTAAGAACCAATTCTTTTGGAAATGGAGTGCTTTTTAAAAAACTTCAATTGATAAGGAATGGGAAAACTCTGATAACTGGACCGAGTTCATCAGAAAGGATCCAACCCACATATTTTCGAAAAAATTGAGTTAAGAATGTTTTTGAGTTCTACTCGTCTTATATACTCTCCTGCCAAAAACTCTAAGTCGAGAAAAAACAATTAGGCTGTGTTAAGAGGGGTTAAAGTTTATTTTCTACATTGAGCCTAATGGAGAAATAAAATTTCGAACCTCTTTTTCTGAGTTTCAATTTTATGTGGGTTGGTTCCTTTCTGTTCAACTCGGTCCAAATGTGATCATCTGAGAAAAAGAACTTTCGTTCCCGACGGCAAAGAGCCTCCTTCAGTAGGTCTTTTCTTTACCATTTTTCTGGGAACTTAAGAAAATTATCAACATCTGCGCGCCTTGGATGAAAACTTATCATGAGGAAATCTTTGAATGAAAGTTATTAGCTTGAGCTCAAAACTGATTTTAGTACTGCAAAGTTACCTTTGCTGGTGTCTACATTATGCAGAATAGAAAAATTCCCAATTACTTGTATTTAGAATATTTAGAAATTCCTTATTGTTGAGCTTAACAAAAAATTATTCTGGTCATAAAATTTAACTTTACCGATGCTCTTCTACGACCTTTCCAACGCTTTCAGTTTAATGGACTACAGTAAGTTTTAGATATAGTAATAAAAATCAAACGGACCACGTTGAATTCAATTTGAATACATCTTTCAAATGACAACGAATAAAATATATTTGTGCATTCCAAATTAAATGCTCAGCTAATTAAATGCTTACATGTTATGGTAACTTGAATGAAACTAGCTTGATTTATGTATTGTTCTATTATCGTAATATTTGAATTTCAGATTCCTACTATCGAAATGTTTTGAGTTCCAACGTTTTGAGTCTGCAAGAAAAAGGGGTCTTGACGCAGCTGAAGAAAAAATGGTGGAAAGAGAAGCGAGGCGGTGGAGCTTGTCAGGTAAAGGAACCGAAGAAAATTTAATTTCTTGATTGAAAACTAATTTGAGATGCTTCTTACTTCAAAGTAAGTTTGCAACCAATCATTCCATTCGCCGCGCTATTAGTAGATATGATCATTTCGATCTGAATCATTTTCGTCGATTGCGAGGTTTCTCGTTAATTGAGTGTAATTTCCAGGAAAACTGTATTCATCGAAGAAAATCGAAGTAAATTAATTCCCCAGACTGGAGCAAAGACGCAGAAAAATCTTTGGCACGGTATTACATAGTTGATAGCAACTCCAATGAAAATTCATCGAGAAACGCCAGGCAGTCTCTTGTACAGTATTCTGACTATACTGATAGAAATCTTTGCTCCTCACCATCTTACTATTACTAACATTACCATTGAATATAGTAAAAAAATTGAGCTCTCAAATGCAGATCCTCGTATCCGCATCTTATTTCTTCAGGTCTTCGACTTAAAGTACTATTCGTTTTAAGTAACGATTTGATCATGGATATCTTTTGATGCCGTCAACGCAGATAGCTTACACATAAATCGCCACATTTTTTGGCAAAATGAATGATTAGTCTGAAATTTGCTTGCACCATGTTTTGGAAGCACTTGCAAGCAACTGTGTGGACCAACATATTTAATACACCGCAGAAGCCATTGCAACTTTCCCAAAAAGTTTGACCGTTTCAACTAAGGCAACTAAGCGATTTAGTAGCACTAACTGCGGCAACTAAAATGTTGGCCATTCCGAATAAAGGGACTGGTTTGCTTAGTCTCCATTTTTATCAGGGATTAATATATACTGTGCGTATACTTTCTATTTAATGATCTCCGCTGTAACAGTTAAAAGTGGCCTCAATATGAAAATTCTCTCCGACCAGTTTCCTAGACTTGGAAATGGATCTGAAATTTCCAAACGTGGGTGCATACAGGTCGTATACCAACGCTCATTATTTTAGTCAGTGCGAATGTATAAACGAGGGATCAAAAGAAAAAGTGCGCAGTGTGCAAAGCTCTCACAAAAATCCAAGAGAGCCGACGCATTTTCAAAGCCTTTGTTTTGTTTTTCTGGGATCAAGAACACGAAATAATTGGGACCTTTATCTGGGTCGCAGCATAACGCTCGCGAGACAAAAGACGTAATTTATCATCAGGTGACGCAACAAACTCCCTGAAAAAAGAATGTCAATAGGATCGGTAGAATGATAAGCGTATACTCATTCTTAAGGCTTGAAAACTCTTATTTGCATCATGCTTATGCATAATTCATGCTTAGGTACATGTGTACATACCTCAAATTGTACTAACTATGAGATATTTAGTCACTTGCGCCTTTTACAGAATGACAATGGGTCTCTTGCACTTAAGGGATACAGCTAACTAAGAAAACTCATTGTCGGTCAAATTTCACAAAAGGTTCCCGATATAATTGCAATTCGTATGCATAATAATTGAAAAGTACGGAAAATTTCACGTGAAATTGACCCCTAAAAATCCAAAATCGATCCACTTTAGGTCTAAAAATGATTCCTTACAGAGGGGAACAGTAGTTCCCTCCATTATTCCCTTTTGGTCGCGAAATAGACGTAGCTTCTCCGGAAAAAGATGGTACCACGGGTGATCGGGGGGGGGGGGGGCAGGGGACCACTGAGACCATGAATTTCAGATTCCTTGATGTTAGTTCACTAGCATGCCATCGTTTTCCGCAGGATTTACGTCAGTTTAGCGATCATTGAGCAATTTATGGACGGGACACCGGCCCCCTCTGCAGGGGGAAACTTTTCGGCATTGAGTGGGTCAATTTGAACTGTCAGGCGTCTTTTAAAATTTAATTTTGTTGCTTTTCAATTTGGATACCATCAATTCCCCCCGTGTACACGCCAAGGGGGGCTAGGGGGGCTTCGGGATTAAGATAATCGGATTCCTTGTGGTCGATGCCCTGTTCAACACCGCGGTTCCTGACTTCGTGCGACCCAAACCAACCGAGAAAAAGGCCTGGTACAGGTGGTCTGGGACACCCTGTATAATAACAGAAAGTAACCATTACTGGCCACAGTGTCAAACCATTTTAATGCGAATCAGTCACCCTTACAGCTGAATCACTAAATACAAAAAAGGGCACATGTCCAGAAAACCAAATTGTTCAGGAGACATAAAAACTGTTTATTTCGTGGTAGATATTTGTTTCAACATAACGACTTTCCAAAAAAATATCTACCACGAAATAAACAGTTTTTTGTGTCTCTTGAACAATTTGGTTTTCTGGACATGTGCCCTTTTTGTACTTAGTGATTCAGCTAGCATCGCTTTTTGTCAATAGCTGATAGGTCAAAAATATTTACGACACGAATCGATCGGAAACACGGAAACAACACAAGAATCACTCAGGTAACCTATCGCGCAGCAATTACACCGAAATGAGAACTCTACGAGCATTTCAAATGCGGTGCAATCCCATTGTAAAAATGCAATCACTGAACATGAATATACAAATAGAGCTTTTGACCTCGCTGTAACTATTGAGGTCACAAAACAACCTTTACAAAAACTCTTGTTGAAGATATCCAAGACGGCTGACAAGGTTTTCCAGATAACTACGAAAAGAGTGTAAAATAAAAATTCAATATTGTTAGAAGCTCAGATAGAACTGTGATACTCTTCCGAGGTTAAATTATTTTGTTTCTCACGTGGGACATTCTAATGGTAAGCGATTAAATCTATTCTTTTATTAAAGACAATCGGATCGAAAGCCACTTCATAAGGGTGCACAATACGTTTTTGAAAAACAAGCGTAAGGGAGCCAGAAGAACCTGATTCTTCCTATCTCCTAATTTCGCAGAGTGAGGAATAAGGGTTCGTATTTGCAAGCGAATCATGCATATATGTTCTTTTTTATATCATCTCCAAGTTGGTCTGGTTTCCCTCATCACGCAAACCATTCAGATTTTGCCGTTGTCTCCGGAGAGCGAAAGGGATCCTTTAACTTCAGTAGCTTTCAACGCATGTCGAAGCATAGTCGACGAATCAAAACAAGACTTATTTTACCTTTACGCGGTTGGACTGAATGCCGAGCCCTCTTTTGAGGACTTCAATCAACGCTTGCATGAAGCTTCCATTAAAACCATTTTGATATCCCACCACACTCAACTGACCACTGCTGTCAATACCGATCATGGCAAAAATATCATATTCATTCTTAACGATATGAGAGAGCTGATGAGCTTGATTTTTTACTCAGTCTCCCAACCAGGACTCATGGAAGAAAACGGCGAAAACACGAAAAGTCTCAGATACAATAAAATGAGAACAGAACATCAGTCGAAAGATACTTTACCTCTGTACTGCGTGACCGTAGATGGGCGTTTATTATGGACGGAAGGGGGAAAGCTAAGCAGTAAAGAGTTGAGACTAACATCAGCTGAATTGGAGCCCAATTCGCTTCTGAGCGATCGAGTGTTTGATGCAACTCGAGGTTTGTACACCAACAAAATTTGGAATTCTAGGAATTATCTAGTTTTCGTCTTGAAAAATTTCGATCCGATTCACAATCACACGGCATATACAGCCGCGGCATATACGGGAAATGGAATGCAAAAGTACACAGTGGATACAGACCCGGTCGCTAGGCTGGTTTTCTGTTTTAAATTTTTTTGGCGCTTTTTTAAAGGACTAAGATCAGTCATTTGCCACTCGCAGGGTTGTGAAAGATATGATCCCTTCATGGAAAAACTCATCTCAACTGAAAGTGAGACCGATCAATATTTTTTCGACTTTTCTTGGAACGATATGCACGGACAATCAATCAGCACATTCTACACTGCATGTGAACGTAGTACTTGGATGCTTATTCCGTCTTCATCCTCAACCATTTTGGTTGGATCGGATGAGGCATTATTGAATGACTTAAAACGTGCTGTAAATTGCACATTGACGTATCCATCGTTTACGAATTACATGGAAGACCAATTCAAGCGTTACGGTACTGAGGCAGGCTTGAAATTCGACATAGACTTGCAGCCGTTTGAGTACGGACTAAGTTTAGAAGGAACTAATTACTCCAGGTATGATTTTTCAGTCAGCTTTGATACGAGATCTCTGTGCTTTGCAACTCCACATAGTGGTTTTATGTCACAAGGTCTAGTGATTTTCAAAAGCTTTTCGCCACTCGTATGGACTCTCATTTTCCTTACGATTATTAGTTTCTGGATCATTCTGGGCACTTTCCATTACTTACAACGCAAAGTATTTTACTTCTTCTACCCAGACGCAGAAGTTGAATTTTACAGAAACTCATCTTCTCTGCTAACCGTTTACGCGTACTTCATGTGTGGTAGCCCAGCAAACCTACGCTTGGGCCATCTTTTGACGGAAAAAGCCCTCTTTGTAATTTTCAGCTTTTCTGCATTCATCATAACTAATGCTTTCTTGGGTTGCATGACAACGCTTCTCAGCAAAAGAGTTCTGTATCCGGAATTAGATTCACTGAAAGCCTTGGAGGAATCAGAGCTGCTCATTCAAATAATGTATGGTAATGTTTCATTGGGAAAGGAAATGTTCTCTCTGCAAAACCAATCGGAGATGCTAAGTGCCAAATTGGTAGCTAATTTATACGGTTACGCTATGGCAGAATTCACGGAATTCATTCTTAATTATTTTAGTTTCATTGAGGATGATGGGTCCTATGCAGATTCTAATTTTACTAAAAATCGCATTGCGGAGATTGAGAAGAATATTCTCTCTATGGCTGCGATGGATGCTATGATGATCAGTGTACCATTCTCTTCCAACCGCAAAGAAAATGTCCTTGTAAAGCAAGGATTGCCTGTTAATATTGAGTATCATTTAATGCAAGAGTGCCTGATTACGTATCCGGTAATGATTCCATTCCTGAAAAATTCTTTCCTCTATGATAAATTGAATCGAATAATTTATCAAAATCTAGAAACTGGGCACACGAGAAGAATGATAGAGAGATTTGATACCTACGTAATACCTTTTTCATCTGAGGGTACAGGTGCAGAGGGTGGTGAGCCAAAGCCATATGATCTGAATGATTTACAGTCAGCTTTTATAGGGCTTATCCTTGGTTTATTTGCAAGTTTTCTCACCTTTATAGGAGAAATTTTCACTGATATGTATCCAGACGCTGTCATTCTGAAATATTTAAAAACTTTAAAAGTTTTCTTGTTGCGCAAGGTGAAAATGGGCAGAGTGTAATCAATGTTATAGTAATGTATACATGAATGATAAAAAGCGGCTCATCTACTTTTGTAATTGTTCAATCGAGGAAAAAACTCAGAAATGACCCGAAATATAAGTAACAAGGTGGAAAAATGGTGCTGAGACCATACCATTTCGCGCGGAAAACAAAGCCAAGAAATTCCAAATATTTTTCAATTAGAGTGAAAAAAATTTTTCTCTAAGCGTACCAGTACAAGACTGAGCGGGGTAAAAGACTAATTATTCCAGTTTCGTTTATTAGAATGACTTCACTTCGGAATTCCATGCGGCAATCGGAACAGACAGTGTCTTTGCGCCTAACTTTCGTGATCATATCTATACAAATAGCTGCCGGGAAAATTATTGTAAACATTTGGGAACGTCAAAAGCTCGGAAAAAAGTTCAACACTTACAATGCAACACCATTCTGTGGGGAAAAAATGAGAAAAGTCTGTAGTTTTTCTGGTATTTAGGCAGAGGAATAAAATTGAGCCATCGTCTAGTACATATGGGGGTCCAAACTTGTAAAATGGGACCCTAACTTTGCGGCTCCGGGCGCTGAGTTTTAACCATTCCAATACAGAACTTTAAAATCTCACTGCCAGGAGCCAAGATTCTCAGTTCTGGCTACCAAATTTCTACAATAATATCCAAAAATTGAGATATTGTAAAACTAATTTACGAAGGCTTTACCGGTGACTTTTCCAAGTATGGCGGAGGAGATATCGAGGCTTACAGAAATCGCTATGTTCAACTTCAAAAACTTTCAGGAAAATTCAGGTGAACCGAATTTACTCTCTCCTCGTCAGAAAAGGAAGAATTAAAAATTACTGAACAAGTTCATTCATGCATGTTCGCTATGGAAGCCTACCAAGGAAGGAGCGCAATAAGACTTTCATGGCCATAACATGGCACTATTCTTCATGAGTGCAACCATGAAATTATTCCCGCAGCTGCTGAACGACCACGGAGGAAGATGCATGTCAAACATATGTACAACGCGGTAGAAGAAGAAGACATAGGGTACATGGAGCGATCCTATGAAAGCACGTTTTATAACGACACGCAAATTGGGAAGGTGCGAGATCTTACATGTGTCGCAATTAATTGTCCGTCGCGCGGAAAACCAGGGCGCCTTCACTTTTTTGTATATGCAACATCGACATCCATCGTGCAAGATTAGTGGTATTCTGACATCGTCGTGTATCTTTGCGTCGCATCATCTTCACACGGGTTGATCGAGGCACTAATAATGCTGATACGATTACTTTTATGCTTCATATAACATTGCTGCCATTTTACTGAGGAGAGAAGTAACGCCTAAATTTTCGGAGTCGAATTTCCTGCAAATTTCTACAGACTTAATTTAAATAAACTGACTGATTTAGCTACATCAACAAAAGTCACCTAATTTGTATAATGCATACAAAAGTTATAAGGAGTATTCAGTACGCTAAAATTGACGTCATTTCAGACAAAACCGTATTAAGTTCACATTGCCCGATGGCTGAAGTGTGAAACCACGTATTTCCGATTGTGACGTTGTAGAATTCATGTCACTTATTTTTTTCTTTGAAAATCTAGTCAATGTAATTTTTTGAACCCTCTCTGGATTTTTTTCCGAAAATTCGCGGGAAATTCTATCTGAAATTGAAGCTAAAAAGTTATGGCTCGTTTCTTTTTGAACAAATGAAATAAAAACGGCAGATCCAGCAATTTAGCAACACTGGACTCCCTCCATTTAAACCTATGTTAAATAATCGATTCTTGTCGGAGCACCTGGCCCCTCCAAGAATCGATACATTTTCATAGGTTTAAATGGAGAAAGACAATGTTGTCAATTCGCTGGATCCGGCAATGCTCGGCGCAGCTGCTTCGCGCTCTGCGACGTCCAATCGCCATTATCACCCCCTATCCTCCCAGAGATCTTCAAGCAATTTGGCACCTCCTGATCTCCTCCTCTACTCCTTGTCGCCGACCTTTCGCAAGACGTCCACGCCGTCGCCTGCCGGGAGGAACCCAATCAAAAATCTGCTTGGGCAACCGATCGTCGATGATAAGGTTGCTGCAAGAAAAATCACTGTAAATTGTCTGCAAGGTTGAAAACAATAAACATTTTTACGCCTTGTTTTCATGGTTCCATGGTGTGCTTTTCAGTCCAAAGATGGGGGAGAAGAAGATGCCACGGACGAGGGCTTGGACCTGGACAACGTCGGTGGAGTGTTCGTCGTCTTGGTGGCTGGTGTCATCGTCGGAGTCGTCCTTGCACTTGTCGAGATGACGTGGCACTTATGGAGAGTCTCCGTCAACGAACATGTAAGAGAATCACTCATACGTAGTTAAAATTTCCGCCCTTATCGTAACTTTGCTTTACCTTTTTTTGAGGGGGGGGGGGATCAACCAAAATGACTTGGTTGATCGACCTTTTTGGTTGAATCGACTGAGACCGTGGATACTCTGAAACATCTAAGAGGAAGAAAGTGTCCTGCTGAACTTATGCTTTCTTTTTTCACTCAACGTCACTTAAAAGTTGCGACTTGTGAGCGCCTAGCGCACAACCATACAACAGCACTTGAATATATTAAATTAATAGATGAAAAGAAGATATTTAATAGTTATTAGCAATAGAGAAGGAGGGGTAGAATAATATATACCTAAAGTAATGTAGTTAGTAATATTTAAGTGCTTTACATACAACAGCACTTAAATATATTAAATTAATACTACCACCGATGCGAGTCCAAAAACGATCCGATTATTGAATCTACGTCGATATTATTTGATTTTATTCTTTTGTTTTATCGTATTGATACATGAGGAGTCGAAAAAATTCGACCGTGGTACAGGTCGAGATGATACAAATAGGAATACATATAAAGTCGAACAATGCAAATAGTAATGTATGATGAAATATTTCAGTTTAACACTAAACTTCTGGGAAAGCTTATACAGCAAGGCAAGATATAGCCCTAGCTTAACCATACAGTATATCGCATTTCGGTGACTTAGCGCGCGCTGATTTAAGCTTTCAATAATCACCCCGAAGTGCAGGTTCGATCCTGGTGGATCGCTCCTGATTTTGAACGAGCAGGGTGCAAATTATCAACCCATAGATTTGGTCGATGTAACAAAAAAGAAATTAAAAAAAAAATTAATCGGTCGTTTAGGGTACTCAATTTTCTACTTGAACACAAAATGTCGATTCCTTTTTATTGCCAAGATAATGCAAGATTTACCAAAGATAATGCAAAAAAATAAGGTAAGTTTGAACCCATTTCGTAATGAATAATTACCAAATCAAAGGCATCTTCCCTCTTCTTCCCTCCGTTCTTTCATTTTTTCCCTCTTCCTCCCGTACGCCCCGTACGCCCCGTACGCCCCCCACCCCCACTGGATCTTCATATGCCAGTACAAAGGAAAATTTTGGTCGAAAGGTGAATGCTTACTTTATCTCGTCTTTTGATTATTTCATTGATTTTGTCTCCTTTATCACAGGTATCATTCAAGGATGAGGTGATCGCTGAGTTGAAGTTTGTGGCCAAATTTCACGGATCAACAAAACCGGTTCGCCGGGCCATCAGAGGTAGCTCGCGAGCGTCCAGTGTCGATCACCCAAATTTTGAAAACGGCAACACTTATCAACATCATTTTGCCTTGGATGATTCTAAACAGCCTCTCGATTGAGGCCTCTCGCGTTTTGCAGCAAAGCCAGTGTTTGTAATTAATGATGTTGAAAATAAAATATGTTTGATTTTTTTTAATAACTTGCGGATTTCCCTTATTCTGCATTATCCAAAAAACCGTTGGCAGCAATGCAAAGTTTGAGAGCAAAAGGCGGGTAATGGGTCAGTTGCGCTACTCATAGAATCGCGTTTATGTTTAAGCATGCACATCAGCAAAAAAATAATAAGATTTATTCGAACATCTATTTTCTCTGAAATATTAATGGAGATTTCGTCTTTAAAAAACACGACGTATGCCGTTAACCACCGCGGCTGTACATATCATGGTTTCCTCCACATGCGATTCCTCAATTAATAATGCACAGGGTGTCCGGAATGGAAGTTACCGTACTTAACAACTTTCAGGATCGATTTTTCGGCTCACAGTATATGACTTTCTCCCCTGTACACGTATGCCTAAAAACGCTTCATAAGTGAGCTATGCGCTTCCAAAGTTGCCATGTTTTTTTCCGAATTGATGAAACTTCTCGTGATTTTGTCGTAAAACTCTATGAAATTTTGTATGGGGTGGGAGGGGGGGGGGTTTAGCGTACTAATCATTTTTCGTATTTTCAAGGACGTACGTCTTTGGAAATTGACGTCACAAGCGTTCCCGAATTTTAACTGCACAAAATTGCTCACGAAGCTCCTTGCTGGGTAGGCAATTTTTACTGCAAGGACTGTAGGAAATCATAGCGCATAGCAAAAGAGACGCATTACTTACCTATGAAGCGTTTTCGGGCGCATGTGTATAGGAAAAAAGTCATATTTAAAGCTGAAAAATCGATCCTGAAAGGTAAGTACGTTAACTTCCAGATACCCTCTATAAATTGGCACTGAATGCTGGCCTTAAAACACTTCTTATACATAAATGCCATACTTGAGCCATTGATATGAGAGCAGTTTTCAGGCAATTTCTGGCAAAAAACTCAGTTTCAAGCTCTGGATCTCAGCGAAAGTCGCCACGACTTCCTTCTCACAGAGATCGAAGTAAGTTGCTTCGGCAGATTCATTTTCCATTTTCGTGAAAATTCCTGTGAGAGGATGAGGCTTCGTAGAAAAAGAGTACCACACCAAGCCAACACTACAGGTTGTTGCGAACTGGACGGCACGGATAGAAATCGATGGTACAGAATTGAATCCAATCAAAGCAAATTGGAAACTGATTGGCTTGATTAAATTATCTTTCCCCCGAGAGAGCTGTGTAATTAAAGTCGTCTGATCAGGGTTTTATTTGAATCCGATGGGCTTTATTCGCTTGTAACCTACGCCTGTGATTGATATTCATATTGAATAATAATTTGAGAAAAGCAACGAATCATCAAATAGGAAATAAAACTAAGGATGATACTTTTGTGTAACTGACGGATATATTTTCGTAGAATACGTCTGTGTAAGTTCTCGGCCGATTTCTTTAGATTAGTTGAATCGATCGAGCAAAAAACGTTCTTTCATCCTTAGGAAAGTTTGTCAGGCGTTCATCGTGGAGGAAATGAATCGTTGCTGCTAATAGTAATAGCTATTATGCCGCGCATTTTGATACACTGTTAAAACTTTTGGAAGGAAAACCTGTGTTTGCAATGGGCCTGTTGCAAACTTTTGCTAGAGCAGAATGAAGAGTTGTTTCCTATAGATAATGCCTCAAAAATCACGATGAGCGCATCGGCAAAGTCTGAAATGCATTCATAAATTCACAATCTGCGTAAGAAATTTGCGTCATTTTGAGCTTCCCGCTTTAAAAACGATACTAACGCACAGGTGAACATTTTGTTAGAGGAGTCGCTCCATCGTCGGCAATATTCATCATGGCCGACGCTTGCGCAGTTCCTCGCGTAATTCGAAGAGAGTCCAAGGTCAATTAAGGCGGGCGAGGAAAATATGAACATAAGCACGCCGATTGTTATATGGTTTAATCCTGTTCAGGTGTTACCTCGTCCCATCACACGTGTTTTGGCGGACTGGCGTAGGCCATGATGAGTATTGTCGCCAATGGAACGACTCCTCTAACAAAATGTTCACCTGTACCGTAGTATCGTTTTCGAAGCGGGAAGCTCAAAAAACCGCAAATTTCTTACGCAGATTGCTAAGTTATGAGTGCATTTCAGACTTTGCCGATGCGCTCATCGTGATTTTTGAGGCATTATATGCAGGAAACAACTCTTAGTTTTGCTCTAGCAAAAGTTTGCAACAGGCCCATTGTGTGGTCTATTAATTATTGTGTGATAGCGCCCAAAAACTCCGAATGAAATGAGTGGGGGGTAAAGTCTATTCTCTTTACGGAGTGACTTACACTATTACGGAGCGGAATATACTCTTTTTGCGGAGTGTCATACGTTTTTATGGTTTTAATTTCGCTTTGGTCGCATTCATATCACTCTGGTTTTTTGGGCGCTCCATAGACTCAGGTGCCGAATTCCACTCCTCAATTTTTAACAGTTTACACATTCGCACATTCATTAAAACATCCAATATGTCTTATTTTAGTAATTTATGGAAAAACTCAAACTTTTATGAACACACAAGTATAACATACTTACAAGTAACGTACACATTCAATTAAACGTGAGATTACGCGGCTAAATCGAAAGAAAACCTACTCTAAAAAAGCAAATATTCCCTCGAGAATCCTAGTTTTAGAACCTTGAGCCTTTGAATGTGCTTTTCGAAATGCACAAAAACATCGATGGTAACATATCGTGCCCATATGCATTTTTCTCCGACACGTTAAAATAACGACAGTACGATCGGTCATGATCCCGTGGCTTTCAGCTGCAGATTCTTGATCCCGAGGGTCCATTGCATACTATAGAGCATCCCGTACCGTCCCGTGCTATGACGTCACCGCACACTAGCCGATGATGCATGCATCTTGTTACCTTTACAGTATGTAGCGGTGGGGGCAAAAATGAAGTTTTGAGGAAATGAACCTGGCAGCATCCAAGCGGGAATTTCAACGGACGCACTCTCCATATTCCGTGAAACCATCAATAATCCTCCGAAAGACTTTTGGAAGCGTGAACACGCTCTAATATGCAGTCACAACCGCAGAAAATTCAAAGGAAAACCGTCGAAACCAACCGCCAGCTTGAAGGCTACTTCAATTTTAATCCATCGTCGCAATGTAAGGCGCGACGATACAACTATTCGTATTCTCCGGAACGCGGGAGGTATCACGCCACAATTGAGGGCGTTTTCAAAACTGCCAAATTTCGATGTCGGGTTTGTCGTGTCTCGTGTCGCATAAAACCTATAGAGCGCAAGATCAAGGGCACGACTGATTTTACGAGATAATGCAACTTTTTTGCGCACATTGCCATTTTTTAATGTTTTATTCATAGCTTTTGTTATAGTTGAGAATGAGCCAGTAATTTGCGCAAAACGCTCTGAATGCGTTTCCGAAAGTCAAATCATTCTGTAACACTTCATACCTGTAAAATTTGATCGAGAACCTTTTTTTAAGTAAGATTCGCGGTGAGCCGGTCATTCGGATGGAACCTTTGTGTTTTCTGAGAGATAGGGTAGTCGCCTGAAATTTCAGCGTTCTGTTTGAGTGAATCTACCTAAACGAGCTGAAAAGCTAACCTAAACGATTATATTCATAAATCCCCGAAAGTCGAATCATTCTGTAACACTTCATACCTGTAAAATTTGATCGAGAACCTTTTTCCAAGTAACTCCAAAAGTACGGTATAAAAGATTTACCACGTATTGTATTTTTCCATCCACTTTGCTATTTCCAATTGGCACTTGGACCTAGGTATTTGAAATTTATTTTACAATTTTGCAGCACACTTTAACTATGCAGCCACAACTGCGAAAGTGTCAAAAAGAAATCTTCAAGACCAGCGTAAAGGGTACTTCAATTTTAATCTTCCGTCGCAATGTTAAGGCGCGACGATACAACTATTCGAACTCTCCGGAACGCGTGAGGTATCACGCCATAATTGAAGGCGTTTTCAAAACTGCCAACTTTCGATGTCGGTTTTGTCGTGTCTCGTGCTCTCGTGTCGCATAAAGCCCAGCGCAAAATCAAGGGAACGACTGATTTGACGCAATAATGCAATATTTTTGCACCATTTTTTAATGTTTCATTTATAGTTTTTGTAATAGTTGAGAAGGAGCAAGTTTGCGCAATACGGCCTGAATGAGTTTCCGTTCTAATCAAGCTTCTCATACACATTATTTTCTGTATATTTTTTACTGATATGAGTTCCTACCGTGTCATTCTTATTTCTTATCACTTGTTTGTTTTTAATCCTCCTATGACACTTACGTATTTGCTACGTACAATTTTAGCATGAACGCGCTTTAATATGCAATCAGAAATGCAGAAATATCAAAGGAAAACGTCAAAGCCAACCGCCAGAGCAGCGTGAAGGCTAGTTCAATTTTAATCTTTCGTCGCAATAGTCAGGCGCGACAATACAACTATTCGTACTCTCTGGAACGCGTGAGGTATCACGCCACAATTGAGGGCGGTTTCAAAACTGCCATTTCGATGACTTTTGGAAGTTAGAGGAAATTTAACTTAAAGTTAAAGTCCTGGAATTGGATTGAAGATGCGAGATCGTGGAATTGAAGGCACAATTCGACCACGGTAAGCCGAAAGGAATCAAGCCACACAAGCTACTGCCGCATTTAATTGGGCAATTCAATTTTTTACATGCAAACGGTTGTACGGATTTTCGCGCAGATTTCCGTGAATTTTCTGCATAGTGCGAAGCAAATATCTTTTTTCAAAGGATTCCGCAGAAACTCTCTCTTCTTACAAATTACATTGCCCAACTAAATTTGGCGATAGCTTAGGTGGCTTGGTTCCTTTCTGCTGGACGCAGTCCAATTGAAAACCGAATTTTCTCTAACAAGCATTAACCCATTTGTAATTTCTTGAATGAGGACTTTCTTATTAGTTCACCTTTTTCTTCTTCTTCTCTTTGTCATCAGGCATCCAATATGAACCATAGTTTGACCGGGTTCATTAGAAAAGAATTAACCCACATTAGCTTGAAAATGAGAAAAAGATGTTTGAATTTCTATTCCTA